TGCTGCGAGGCACCAGCCGAAACTTCACAAACAAATAGGGCAACGCAACCTTTCGAAGCTTTCGAACGGCAACCCGCCATTTCCGATGTTGCATGCGGCCATGGAGGCTTCAGCGGTTGAGCGTCTCTGCGTCACTAGTAGTGACTCACTACCATCACAAGCGCCTCCTAGCGAGCAAGGCTGCTCTCGCGGCGAGCCTGCCAGCAACCATGGCAGTTCACGAATGGCTCCAGTTTCGGTTTCAGAACTGGCAGTGCAAATGGCAACTTCTGGCGCAGACTCGGCGCAGATTGCTCATATTTGACCAGAATGGCGCAGGCTGGCGCAGGATTCGCCTTTCGGCGCAGTTCGGCGCAATTGGCGCAGCTATCACATCACTGTTTCTAGCAAGCAAGCAGAAAAGTTTGGCAACAAAATACATAAACACAACTTGCTTATTGTGTCAGGGCAAGTGTATTAAGCGCATTGGGAGCAATATGCAGATTAGCAGCGAGGTGTCCCCACACGAGCTCAGCAAAGCTCCGCAAAGAAATACTTGCAACATATACATTTGGATTATGCTGCCTTTCAGACCTCAGAAGCAGATGCTGCATCGATTTCTCACCAGGGAAACCGACCACATATATTGAATACATCAAACAATATCATCGATATCGACAAAAGACATTATTGTCTAAAGTGAAGCTCTTAAGTGGCTGTTTTTAGTGCCTAAAAATCCAGCGTTTAATTATGACAGTGTGGTAAACACTTTCTCTGCCTAGCTGTACTTTCTTAATATCTGTGCTTTACTCTGAGGGCGTTTTTTGTGTATTTGATATCATCCACTGCAGGGTCTTAAACTCAGCTTGCAGGCCAGTCACAAAATTTGTCTGCTGCAAGGGCCGGGACAATGCAGAATGTAGGAGTGAGGGGAGGAGAGGGGGATTTTTCAGAACAATTGCAGCTAACACAGGCATATCTGCCAACATTAGCTTATAATTTTATTTCAAATGATAATGTGTTGCATTATTGCTGATAATCTTGTTTTTCATTCTATAAAGCTAGTCGAGCTACATCCAGGCTTATTTTTTTAGCTTCCCTCATCTTTATCATAAAAAATAAAGGACTTCCCAACTCTCTAACACTTTACATGAAATGATATCTGCACAGGAAAACATGTGAACATGCTAAGCCTATTTTACATGCCTAGAAGGTTTGAACTTGCAAACACATATACATTCAAGCACAAATACTTAAATACAAAACACCTATGCTTGTGCGTATTAAAGCTAGTTGTAATAGACACAAGCATACTTTAAGAGGTTGCTGCTTCTGGTGGAATGCTCTCGCTTTGATCAATGATTCTCATCTTTCCAAATGCCCTTTGAATGTTCAAAATGCCCCTTTAAAATTGGAGCTAATCAGGAAAATCTAAATTGTCAAAAATTTAATTGGCAAGTCTTTATCAGACTTTTTAAGATTTCTCTGAAAGACTTAGTATAACACATGATGACCGCCTGAGGTGCCATCTCCCTCCCCACCCCCAAAAAAGGTCTTGAGAACACATCATGTCTGTGTAGTTCATGAAAATACTTATTAGAAAAATATATAACAAGGGACAAAGACAGTCCTCCGCGAGCCATGTGTTAGAGACTCCTGATCTACTGTATCACATTGTATGGTTACATATTCATGCTGTATATCATCCCACCTGCTGCGATCCTAATAAAGAGACCAGCCATATAGAAAATAAACAAATACTTGAAAACAATATTTAAGCACCTTTTGTAATGATGTTAAGGGGAGATGCGAGTCGAAAAATCGGGTTTTTAGCGAAATTTCTCGTATTTCTGATTTTTATTGCATTGTAATCTTCAAACCTTCTTCTTTCATCTGTAAAAATTTCAAAACTAAATTTGAACCGCAAAATGCAAAAAAATGTGTATGAAGGCATCGCGGTGGCTCAAAATTTCGTGAATTTGAGCCGATATTGGCCATCTTTGACTGCGCGCTGCTCCCCGTCGCAGTGCCGCCCGCCATCGCGATCGGTTGGGAAAGTTGCGTTCGGCCTTCTTCTTACAGCTCCGACGACCGCTAGTTTCGTACGTGGGCAAGAAAAAAAAAAAACGAGGCCTTTTTATCACGTGGTTTGAGCGGTTTGAAACGCGCGGCACCCTAAGCCGCATCGCCATTGGCTACCGAGTCATTGTCAGCTGTGTTGGTGGCGTCCATCGGCATTTGGTCCGTCTGCTTTTCTGCGCGTCTACGCATATTTCCGCGATGACAAGCCCGAAAAAGTGCAACGTGAGACCGCAGAAGTTTCGAACGAAGCACAAGTTCAAGGGAAGGCAGCGTAAAGCGCCCCGAACGACGGCAACGAACGAGAACGCGCCTACGTGTGCTAGGCCTGACGGCGGCATCGACGAGTGCGCGAGCGACAGTGGCTGCAATGAAGGGATTGACGCTGCACTTTCTTTCGTCAGTGCTTCGGAAAAGAAGCTCGGCTTCTTCGAAAAAGACGAAAGACAGCGCGATGAGGTTTGTGCAACGACAGTTTTGTGCGACACCCTCTTGCTGACAGCACTTGTGGCAGGTGCGGTATGCCCTGCTTGCGGTATTCAAAAACTTGCCGTTCGGGAGCCGGCAGAAAAGCGCAAGGGACTTTCGTCGCTCCTCGAACTTCATTGCGAAAACAGCGAATGCTCAGCGACTGTTCTTTCGTGCTCCTATACGTCACTGCGTGTTACGGCGGACGGCAGCAGCCGAGTGAGCCAACGGTACGACAGTGGGAGCTCCCGAGATAGTTTCGCTGTAAATGTGAAGGCGGTGGTGGCTGCATGCGCTGTCGGCATTGGGCATGAGCAATTGTCAAGGTTTTGCTCCATTATTGGACTCCCAAAGCCAATGCACCACCGAGGATTTTTTTCAATAGCAAAGAAGGTGCACACCGCTGCCATGGCAGCTGTGAGTGAAAACTTGCGCCGATCCAGAGAGTTGACGAAAGAAGTAGCAGGCGAAACTGATGTGGCTGTTATGTTCGACGGCACTTGGCAGAAGAGGGGCCACAAAAGCCACAACGGGATTGGCGAAGTTATCTCCTTAGATACTGGCCTCTGCTTAGACTTCGAGGTCATATCAAATTACTGCCTGACATGCAGTAGGCACAAGGATATGGGCCCAGACGAGGAAGTGTGGCAGGCATTCCATGGCCCAGTCTGTGAAAAAAATGCAGACTGTTTCTCCCATGCCATGGAAACGGAGGCTGCAATGCGCATTTGGCAGAGAAGATTGACTTATGACACCCCACTGCATTTCATGACATTCTCAAGTGACGGTGACAGCAAAGCATATAGTGCAGCTGCAGAGTCAAAAGTCTATGGTGCTGTCAATATAGAAAAAGAAGACTGCACTAATCATGTGGCCAAGAGACTTGGCACCGCGCTACGGAAGCTGCATGTGCCATTACCACGAGGGCAGAAAATGAAAAAGCCAGCCATTCAGAAGCTCCAAACATACTATCAGATTGCCATAACAAACAACAGGGGGAGTGTACGGGATATGTACACTGCAGTATGGGCTTCGTACTTCCACTCATGCTCTACTGACAATGCTGGCAGCCACAAGTTTTGCCCTGCAGGAACAGAGTCGTGGTGCAAACATCAACGCGCTGAAGCACTTGGTGAACCTGCACCACGCCACACGCCTCTCCTGACAAAAGCACAGGGATTGGCTGTTTTGCCCATTTATAAGCGGCTAACGGATGAGAAGCTCATTGCTCGATGCATCAAAGGGAAAACCCAGAACGCATCGGAATCCCTGAACAGCAAAATTTGGCTACTTTGCCCCAAGACTAAGTTTGTCTCCCGAACGGTTGTTGAGACTGCCGCAGCTATGGCAATCCTGAGGTTCAACAAGGGTCATGCTACTTTCGAGCACATCCTGGAAGAGCTCAACATACTGCCATCTAGAGATCTAGTTACTTTCAGTGATTCCCGCGATGCAAGGCGCATCAAGAGAATGTCCGAGCGTCTGACAGCAGAAGCAAGGGCCCATCGTCGTCGTGGAGTGAAAAGGGCACGGCCAAAAGAGAGTGCTCGCAAGGACCGTGAGGGCACAACCTATGCTGCAGGACAGTTCTAGTAACTTGCAGTGCTTTTCAAAGTTCTGTTGAACATTATGGCCAAAGATTATGCAGTTCTAACAACTCTGTGATAAAAAAAAAAAAAAGGTTTCAAACTTTCAGATGCGTTTTTCTCCTTTTGCAGTTTTGTGTGATCTGTGCTTCTTATACACGCTAGTTCCTATAGTTAGAATTGTCATACCTCTATTAAATTTTGCACATAGCATGATGAAGGCCCATAGAGTGCAAGTATCTATCAGATTGTCAGTGCTGCTAGATTATGTTTTTCAAAAATTACATAACATTGAAAGCCCTTGGCAACTAGAGCCATAGTAAATTTTTCTATTTTTATTATTGTATTTCACATTTTTACACACAAAATTTATATAGTTTTTTGCACTCTACAGTTCTAAAGGATCATAGTCAGCTATATCTGCATGCTTTATCTCAAATTTTTATAGGTCAGAATTGTTGCGTAACAATGGCCATAATTTTGCAGTATCTGACCTGCAGAAAGAAAACCAAGCAATCTACATGAAAATAAATGACATATTTGAAAAGAGGAGAAAAAACTCTATTAGCATGCCAATTTGTGTTAAATTCAGACTCTTATTAAAGAAAATCGTTTTTCGAGTAGCATCTCCCCTTAAGTATTTCCCTTCAAGTTCCCTGTCACTATAAACGTGTATTAACTAGAATGATAGTACTATACATCACAATGCAGTCGGACAGGTAATTTGGAGGTCATTTTTTTGTCAGTGAAACTGTTTCCGATTGAAGAACAAGAAGTTCTGAATTCAATTAAATTCATTTAGACCTACTTCCAAATACATCTGAGATTGAAACCAGATATTAGTTTAGCTAAAGATACCCAAACATAAGCAAGAAGGGTCACACTTACAAAAACAGGTGCCACCTTCCTCTTGGGGGCTGCCCACATAATGATTTTGCTCATCGCATCTAGAAAATACAAGAAAAAAGAAGGAATGGCAAGAAGGGTGGACGAGAGAAGACATGATGAATGTGCCAAGCCCACATGTGCACAGTACAAAGGATCTAAACTTGCCTATCACAGTTTGGACCAATGATACCCTTGGTGGTGCAGTTGCACTTGCCAGTCTCCCTGTGGCAAAAAGTGCCATGGTTGTTGCAGAAACATGGGGTACAATTTCCACCATTTGCAGGGTTTCCATGGTAGCCAGCAATGCAGTGCTCACAGTGCGGTCCTTTGCAATGAAAAAAAAAATAAGCCAATGTGGCAGTGTAAATATTATCCTCCAAATGGCTTTCGAGCACACGTACGTGTACAGACGCATTTGTGCCTAAATGAATTAAGAATGAATGCTATAATAAATGCAGCACTCAATGTCAAGGAGTTGCTTACATTGAAGGAACCCTGAAACACCTAAGTAATCACAGAATTACCCAACTATTGGATGATGTTGCTTCACAAATAACTTAATACAGAAAATTTTGAAATCCTTTGCATACATATTTGCAAGTAGGTATGGCATACTCCCAGTGCCTTCTCTCACCTAACTGCACAAAAGGTCATGGCCAAGTGACAAGGCCCGGCAACAAAAATGGCAGTCATGTCGCTTCAGTATTTTTTTAAACAAGTTGTTCGCTGCTTCAGTTCACACATGTGAAGTGCCAGTACATGGCAGCTCCACAAACTGGCAAATACTTTTTGTGGCAAAAGCAGCAGTATGCACATTTTTTATTTATATATATACAATGTTTGCCACAACCAACTAGTTACTGTATATACACGTGTAATGAACGCACTTTTTAACCCTAAAACATCGAAGGAAAGTTGGGCTATGCGTTTATTATGCGGGGCAAATTTTATGAAAGTTTTTTCTGGATGAGTAAAAAATGTGGTAATGAAAGAAAAAAGTTAGGTAGCTTAACCTTTAGCAATTGACATACGCGAACACTGTTTGGAAACAGCTTCTTCGTTACATTTCACTCATCTTTGGTGGTTGATGGCGCTATACTCTGCAAGCTGTGTTCGCACATAAGAGCGTTTTGCAGCTTTCTTGTTTCGCCATCTTTCACTTCACCGCAGCAGTGGTATCTGCTGTGATTTCGAGGGGCGCTTGGAAGTGTGCGTTAGGACACTACGACGCACTTTTCGTTCAACTCTGTGGCAAGCTCACACAATCACTATTTTGACAATGCAGCAAGTTACCACCATTGCAGCAAGCTACTAGTGAAGCATCAAAAGAAACCGTCGACAACAAGATTAATGTAAAAATACGACTGCTGCCTCGTTCTCTGCACGAGATGTGACTGTAAAAAGGTTGCCTATATCTTGCAATCTCAGAAGCATGCGCGGATAAAAAGTATAAAGAGCAAATCGCAACCGCAGCGAGGATCGGAGGCGCGCTAACATGCCATAGAAATCATCAAGCTTTTTTCTGGGCAACAATGATCATTACTGGTTTTTCAAAAACCTGCGACATGCCTGCAATGCTATGGTGATGAATGGCCCTTCGTGACTGAAAATCCTGCCACCGTCACTCGACAATCACATGCATGTGGTCAGGCCTTCATGTTATGACTTCTGTAGGTTGGCGCGGGCAGTTTCGTCACCTACGCTCGCTGTGTGCTTGCGATCCACAATGTCTCTACACTCACACAGGTCGTGAGTCCCACTGTGGGGCACAGATTTTAAAAAGACAGGAGATGTGCCGCACACAGACACAAAGAAGAAATAATTGCGCGTGGCAGCGGGTGAAGGTGTGGGAGAAAGCCAATCGAGGGAGGTCGGAATGATGAAAAGCAGAAAAGATCGATGGGCAAAGAGGTGCCACATGTCGGTTTGCGGGACCGTAGCGTATGAATGTAGGGGGTGCATTTATTATGCAGAAAAAGAAAAATTGAAATTTAGACGACCAAAGTTGGGGGTGCGTTACCTATCCGAGTACATTCATTATGCTAGTAAACATAGTAATTAGCATGAATAATTAAACTGGTTTTCACTAATGTAGATAGGCATCTGATTTTATTCTTCACTCATAGAAGAATATGAAAATAATAGTGTGCAGTTACACCATATGCATCACATCCCAATCAAAAATGATACTTCTTTATCAAGAAATTACCTTCCGTGCGGTGCTGACAGGACTGAAGGCACTCAGATGATCCATTGCAGGTGCTATGTCCATTGCATTGGCATTCTGCAAAATAAAGATTAATAGAGGAGATTAAAGTACAAGGCCCTTGAATAATTTTCCAACATATTTATGTTATAATGCCAGTATACAAAGCAATGCAAGATGTATGCCAATGAGAAGATGCGAGGAAAAGGAAAAGAATATACCAGTGCCACATGGTCCCTTTCAATGGCTATTGGGCTCTATCAGATAAAACTCTTTATCTCATAATGCTAGAGACTGCCAGAAACAAAATAAGTAAGAGCTAAAAACAAAAGCCCTCTACCAGCAAAGGATGCCTCGTCATGAAGAAAAACCATCAATATTCGCACATATTTTGCAAATCGGCATTAGTGAAGGTGACACCAGAGTTGATAAAAATTGCACGTGATCAGCCAACAAAAATTGCTCACTTATGATTAACAAGGACAAATGAAATACCTAGGCCTGGACAAACAGTGAATTTAAGGTTCGAAGCAAATTCAAAGCGTATCATGATTTTGGTCTAATAGTTCTGAATCGAATAGTGTGTATATATCACATGTTATAAAGAATAAGGGGCATATTTGTCATGACCAAACTAACCTGCACAATATTTTAATATTTTTTGAAAATTCGGACAAGGCCTGTGCAAATGCCATAATTTTTTGTATCAAAGCAGGTGGAAACAACTTTGAATAGAAGCAGGATTTGATTTTCTGTAAAACACAAGTGATAGCCTGTAAAAAATGTCAAGTCTTAAAATTTGCTATACTTTGAGCATATATCGATATAATGAGCATTTAAACTGAAAAAAAAAAAAAAAAACTGATGTGAGGGTAACATCTTCATATAACATTAAGGTGGGGCTTCATGACAGGGTAGAATTCTCCTGATTATTTCTCACGACTTCACAGCAGTAAAGCCACTTCTAGAAAAAGTTACATGTGAACTAATATATACAGTAGAATCTCAATAGATGAAAATTGCTTAAACGAGATTGCCGCTTGAACGGAACAGTAGCCCGTAAGTTGGTTGGTTTTGTATTCAGATAAGGTAAAGAAAACCTTCGTTAATTGAAACTAAAATTTGCCCCTCACTGTGCAAACGGAACCAAAAATAGAACTTCTGGGAGACCCATTGCTATGAGCATCAGCCTTTTCTGGTTCTGGCAGTTCTTTTTTTCCATTTTCTAGCCTTTCGTAAGCCTTGCCTCTTTGGTAGTCGGCGCAACGAATGCAACATTGCTATTCTTTATCATGTTGTTCGGTCTCTGTTCGAGTCGCCTAGGTTACAGCCGCATCGTTGCTGCCGTTGTGCTGCCTATCGTGCTTCATTGCTGCGTTGGTGTCTTCCAACTTCGGTGACTTATAAGCGCTCGGGAAGTTGAGGCCTCGCCTCTGTTGTTTCAATGGCAACACAGAAGCGAGCACACCATGCGCTGAGGTTGGAAAAAAAGATGTACGTCATTCTTGACTTAGAAAGTGGCTCATACTAGAAGACGGTGCTGGCGACAAAGCACGGCGTCCTGCAGCTTAACGAGAATCCTGCATGACAAAGACAAGCTGCGAGATGCCTTCAAAACTTCGCGATTCAAGTCCCAAAGGAATCGTCTGCATCACGGTGACCATGAAGAACTGAAGAAGTGTCTGGTTTTGTGGCTTAGGAGAGCCCGGAGCCAGAGAATTTCGATCAACAGGCCACAAATACGTGCCAAAGCAGAAGAGTTTGTTCTTCAGCTCGGTATGAAAAACTTCTTGTGCAGTGAAGGCTGGCTGACAAGGTTTAAAGAAAGAAATGGCCTCGTTTTTCCCACCATTGTGCGAGAAGCCGCAGCAGCTGATGCGGCTGCGTGTCGTGACCAGCGGGCAGGACGGCTGCCGGATGTGACGTCATTCTGCTGCATTCCGTGGCCGCCTGCTCCAGAGACAAGCGCCAAGACATGCGCTATCTTGGTTTCCTTTATTCGGTTATCACGGGAGTCATGTGATCATTCTGACTGTATATATTTCACGACGAAACATTAAAGAGGGCTTTTTTTCTTGGTCACGATGTAACTAGCGTCTGTCGATCACTCTGACGAGCTTGACATGATGTCAGAAGTGGTTCCGATGTAGCCAACTAGCGCTTCAATGGCCCCGTCAACAAGCGAGCGACTGGTAGCTGCGTCTACAAGAACAAGCCATATCGGCGACAACGCTTCAGAATGGCGGGAATCAAGCCTCCTAAGCCCTTCGACTTCCAGAATGCAGCGGACTGGCCCGCCTGGATGGACGAATTTGACGACTACAGATTCGCGTCTGGGCTACATGAGAAAAAAGACGAAGTTCAAGTAAGGACTCTTCTCTATACTATGGGCAGAAAGTCGAGGGAGATTCTTCGGCCGCTAAACGTAAAAGACGAAGAAATGGAGGACTTCAAGCTCGTAAAGTCTAAATTTAACGACTACTTTGTCCACACCAAGAACATAGTCTACGAAAGTGCTCGCTTTAATCTACGCCGCCAACAACTGGGAGAAACAGTAGACCAGTTTGCAACCGAGCTTAGCAAGTTAGCCGACAGATGCGAGTTCGCAAGCATGAAGGAACGCCTAATAAGAGACCGCTTCGTAGTAGGACTACGGAACCAGGTTCTTTCGGAAGAACTGCAGATGGACCCCAAGCTAACGATGGCCACTGCTTTGGCAAGAGCGCGTGCGAGCGAAACCGTAAAGCAACAGCAAGCAGAACTAAAAGAGCATGAGGGCACAGTCCCAGAAGCTTGCGTAGCCGCAGTAAAGCCCAAGAAAGCCGCTGCAAAGAGCACGTTTACTCGCTGTCAGAAGCCCGCTTATCATCAAAATTACTGCAGTTATCGTGCCAGACCATTTCACCCGCGAAACAAGTGTCCAGCGCAAAAAGAAACGTGCAGATTTTGCCGGAAGTTGGGCCACTATGAAAAGGCATGCCGAAAAAAGAAGCAAAGAGACACAAATCTCGATAGCATCGCCAAAGCTGATGGCAAGTTTAAAGGCACGGTCGAGCAGTGTGCGAACACACAATCTGAGCATTTCGTGACGGCAAAGATAAACGACCAGACGCTCCGCATGAAAGTAGATACGGGAGCCGCAGTGACAGTCGTCGGTGAAAATTATCCTTTTCTTCCGCCTTCTCTCTTGGAAAGACAGCTGTTCACAACAAACCATTTACGTCGTGCAGAACTTGCGCATGCCCTTGTTGGGACTACCAGCCATAAAAGCTCTGAGAATTGTTCGCTTCCTAGATGAATGAGACACTGCTGACAATATCGGAAGCAAGTATCCCAAGATATTCCAAGGCACGGGTACCATATCGGGAGAACACACCATACGCCTTGTGCCACATGCAATCCCGTACAGCCTGTCTACACCGCGACGGGTTCCTATTCCCATGAAAGAAAAAGTCAAAGAAGAACTGGACAGGCTAGAACGAGAAGGAATGATACAGAAGGTCGAAGAACCGACAGAATGGTGCGCGCCTATCATTCCTGTAATGAAGCCGTCTGGAGCAGTAAGGATCTGTGTTGACTTAACTCAATTGAACCAGTTCGTCAGACGAGAGCGTCATCAACTGCCAACAATTGAGCAAGTTATGGGAAGCTTCCAGGAAGCCAAAGTCTTCTCTAAACTAGACGCGCATTCTGGTTTCTACCGGATTAGGCTTTCCAAGGAATGTCAAAAGCTCACGACGTTCGTTACGCCGTACGGGCGGTACTGCTACCGCAGGTTGCCGTTCGGGATTACATCCGCACCTAAAATTTTTCAAAGAAAGTTCTCGAAAGTCCTAGAAGGCTTAGATGGCGTTCTGAACTACATGGATGACATTCTGGTGTATGGCAAGAACCAAGTGGAACACGACAAGCGGCTTTGTAACGTCCTCGAACGACTTCAACAAACAGGCGTAACTCTCAACAGGGAAAAGTGTTGTTTCTCAGTTAAACAGGTCGCATTCTTGGGGATGATCTTCAATGCCAACGGCATGCGTCCAGACCCCAAAAAAAGTTAGAGCAATCAAGCAATTGCCCAGACCCCAAAACGTTGCTGAGGTTCGATCCTTGTTAGGTATGTAGTGCCACCATCATCATCATCATTTTCTCAATCACCGCGCCGCGCCTCTCGCGCAGCTGATGCTAGCTCGAGCTGCGCGAGGATTAGAACGAGCTGACACGCCTGGCGTGGCGGACGCTGGTAGCCGACGTGGCTCCGCTTCAGGCCTGGAATAAAGTGGCGTGATCGGCACGGCCCCGTCGGCCGCCTTCGACGTCATCTCACGTCTCTCTTCTCTCGCCGCTACAGGTATGATGAACCATCTCGCAAGGTTTTTACCTGATGCAGCTTCAATGTCCCCTCCTTTACGCAGCCTCCTCAACAAGGACAGCAACTGGTTTTGGGGACCTCAACAAGAGACAGCTTTTGAGAAGATCAAGACCACTCTCAGCTCAAACAGATGCCTGGCGTGGTACAACCCCCGGTACTCGACAATTGTAGCGGCGGACACGTCTTCACTAGGGGTTGGCGCAGTACTCCTCCAGGATCAGCCATCTGGTGAGAGACGTCCTGTTGCATATGCCTCCAGATTGCTCACAAAAACAGAGCAGAGGTATTCACTGATCGAAAAAGAAGCATTAGCTTTAATTTGGGCTGCGGAATGCTTCGACGAATTCCTAAGAGGCCTCACGTTCCTATTTGAGACGGATCACAAGCCTCTCCTCCCGCTACTGGGTCGAGATCCTCTTGATTTTCTACCGCCAAGAATTCAAAGATTCAGAATGCGTCTTATGCAGTACTCGTTCACGCTAACACACGTCCCGGGGAAAGGTATTGCTACGGCGGACACACTTTCTTGCGCGAGAGTGATGAACACTGCGCTTTCGGTCGGAGAGTTGTCTGAAGCAGACGTTTCAGCTCACGTGGAGGGAGTCGTTCAGTATGCGTTCTCTGACGACATGCTCGAACGCATACGCTCAGAGCAAACAAACGACCCCAAATGTGCGTCGTTGCTCGAAGCTTGTATGCAAGGTTGGCCCGC